ATCTAGATAACTTAGAATTCATAGAATGCTAAGAAACATCTCGAGTTGCTGGTAGGTACCAGAAAAAAAGGCCTCGAGTGCGAAGGGTTAAGATCTCCAATGGGAGTAGGCTGGTCTCTGATATCCATTTACGCGTGAGGAATCTGCTAGAGGAAGGAAGTTTATTAAAATGTCACTACCAACTATCAGGAAGTTTATTAAATAAAGAAATTAAGATCCCGATGGGGTAGTTCGTTTGGATAATCAGCGAGTGATCTGCATACCGATTTATGTGAAAGTTGTCTAGATGTACCTACTGTCAATGCATTTTGGTGGGCTTCAGGGTCTGTACCTGAGCTTGGTCGCAGCTGCAGTGATTTCATGAGCCCTACATCCCTAGCGGGGGCGCCAAGGAATACAATAACAAGGGAACCTACAATACGAACAATACAATACAACATCTAAAGAATGAAATACCAGCAACAAAGTCTCACCAAGCGGCTGTTCCACAATTGCCAGAGCAATAACTCTAGAAAAAAGCAAACCTACGACAAGGAACGCCTCGTTGGGGTGTTCCTCCAAATAACAAAGATCCCATCGCGCGTGCATCGGACACAGCGGCTCGACGTGAAAGTAGAAAGCGCTGTTCGCTGTACGGCCAGTCTAAACGCTGTATCTCGACGAGGTGTACACCTGCTTCGCGGGCAGAATCGATTCTGGGCTTTTCTAAAATTACGCGGACAACGGCGTCCTCGATTTCGGCCTCGGCGAACAGCGATACGATTCTCGAGTCGACGATCGACGGATCCGCGTGGTCCTGGATCGCAGACCACGCGGCTCCGTGCCTTTGTTCCGCTCGCGCGTTACGCGACCGTAGGCGTACGCGCGTCGATACGCGTGGGACGTGCTACGCCGCGGCCAAGAGTACGCGTCCCCTGCTACTTCCGTCGAATAATCGCGTAATTAGCACCTTCTGGCGTGTGCTGAAGGGTGGGCGATTCGCGAGACCGATTAGCTCGTTCCTGGAGGATCCTCGCGAGGCCTCAAGAACGGAAGATTCTCGAGGATTTTCCGGGGTGCTTACTATTCCTAGATCCAGAAAAGAGGATCGTTAGGGCTATTTCCTTCGAGTTTGCTTGACTTGTCTCTGTGGAATTCTGAAGACGCCCAAAGGTATAGGAAGTTAGGCTAGGACGAAGCATGAATAAGGAATACGTACTACTTTGGAGCCACTTCCATCTTGTTGTTGAATAGATGGTACCACTGGTGTGCTACAAGATGGACGATGTCTCGTGTCGATATTCCTTAAGTATCCTCGTGAAGAATCCTTGAGAAAAGAGGATTAACAAGGTTATTGCTAATCTACATTCATTCCATCTGCTATATTTAGCTTTCTTCTTCTTCAAACTCAAATAAGAATAGAACTAAGAAGTTCAAAATTGATCATATACAGTCAGTCCCATAAGTATTCGGTCTCTCTATATTTATTAAAGAAATTTTTCTAATTTAAATGAACGCTTCATGTTTCAAAATGAATTTGTGGTTTATAATGAAAGATTGATTTGGAAACATGGAGCCTATCATTTAACACATTCACGCCGGTGTGTACCACCGGTGGTTCGTTCCCGCAGGTCTATCAAATGGCGTCCATCGTTGCGCCGCCCCATGGCGAGAAACAAAAATAACAGCCCCGGCGTGAACGTGTTAAATTAAATAAATTTCTTCAATCGATATAGACGGTACGAAAATTTCGTACTACAAATTCTTACGGGACTGTATAAAACAATCTATCTTTTACACCCTTCCTTTATTTTCACAAAGAAACCCCTTACCTCGCATTTTATTTAATACATTTATAAATTGATTGCTCGAATGCCAACCATGGTTCGATTAACCTTCCCGAGGATCGAATAGCAAATGTTAACCTTAGTTTCCAAGCCCCTTTGCTTCTTAGGTGTCCTGGTTCTTGATGCGTGCCGTGCAAGGACTTCGAGGGGACTTTGCATGCACGTGGTATCTAAATGCATTCACGCCTCGCGGATAAACGAGCGGCTGCGTCAATTTCTCGGCATTGGACAGCTGAACAACAGTAGCATTCCCCGGAGCGCGCTATTACCACTCGATACTGGTCGTAACTTTGTTTTATTAAATAAGTCGGTTGCATAACCAGCTCGACGCTTGCGTACGTACGCTTTCTGCGTCGTATTCGGACCGCAATCACTTTCAGCGAACTCGAACGACTAGATTTGCAAACGCGATCGTTAAACGCACCTGGATTAACCCTCGCGGGACTGTCAGGTGCGGATTTCAATCTATCGTTGCGCAGATGGTTGAAGCAGTATGGAAATGATGTCGTGTTTCGTTGTCAGAAGAATTCATTTAGTAATATCAACACTATTATTTAATTCTGCAAAAGAAATTGTGGTTCAGAATCGTCTCAGCTATCCCCCATTTCCGGTTCTTACACCAATTCTGAGGCACCCTGTGTGTCGGTGTAATAAGTATTCGCACAGAAACAATTTATTTTGTTGCTGTACGAATACTTCTTACACGGACAATATACATCCTTATAATGAAAAATTCATTTGGTTATATCGAAACTATTATTTCATTCAGTCAAACTTCTTCGACAGACACAGAGGGTACGAATATTTATGGGATCGACTGTGTATATAATTTTTGAGCTACGTTGACAAATGTTTCATTCTATTAATTCGTAGGACGGAAATTTTGAAAGAAAAATTAGTCGGAATTAAATTTAAAAGGAAAAGAATTTTTATATTCTATACAGACCCAGGGGCTAATGAAAGCAATTTCCTCAAAATGGAGTAGGTATTTATTTTGGTTGAGAGCCAGACTCCCCTGCACTTAACGACCACTGGCCCCCCTGATCAACCTGTATCTACGTTGGCACAATTAAAATTCCTGTCCGGAAAAAAGTGGTCCGAAAGAAGGAGCAAGCCACGAAGGGGATCCGCAAGAGCTCAGAGCTGCCCTCGCAGGGCAGAAGTGTAGATCGTAAGCTCCCTGGAACTGCAGTCCTCCAGTTGTATCCCCGCGACGACTACGTTATGTCAACAACGATGAAGTCACCGCGATAAGAGTGGCAAACATTCCTATCCTTGGACCGAGCAAATCACCTAGATTGAAACGATCCCGCTGCAACATTCTAGGGAAACAAGTGGCATGTTTCGAAATCATTCGAATCACCTGGTACAAGATCCCTCCTTTGTTAGGAAGGACAAGACCCCAAGGACAGGTGGGTTACAAAAGCCGTACCCTCGATATCCGAAAGGGTCAGAGGGATCAAAGACCCCCTGAAACGTCGGTTAGCGTCATTCGTCACGGTAGAACTGTCCCGTTGTCCACCTGTAATCTACGCGACACCTAACCGTCCGACAGCGGGTGACGTCAGAATGGGAAGAGGCGCAGAGTCGTCACCTTGGACAGAAATACTCTCCATGATTACGTCCAATAAACTCACTTATCTTGACGACGTGTTATCTGATAGGGCAACATAAGACAAACCGTAATTCACGATAGATACGATCAGTTTAGCCTATTCTACTCTTGAGTGGTATTGGGGTACCGTGGTGGGGGGTAGCATAGCACTGCTCTTTTAATATGGAAGAGTAACATTTTTAGAAAGGTATACGTAGGAGAGTTGTTGTCTATATTTTCCCGATGGCAAGTCTCTATCAAATATTTGTGATTTTTGTTGCGCTGTAGGATTCCTATTTTACTGATGCATATGATTGCAATTTTACAGTCAGTATATTTTTATACAAATGTACTCTATGTCTATTGAATAAGTTTGGTTAAGTTAAATAATAGTTTTGATATCACTAAATGAATTTTTCATTATAAACGTGTATATGAGTAAGCTTATACATACGAGTAAGCTCATAAATTTATATATAACATCAACATATTTATACAAATATACACTTGAAAACATCGAACCTACCATTTAATTTAAACAAATTTCTTCAAATACAAATAGACATAGAGAGTACGAAAATTTATGGGACTGATTGTATACGATACCGACCTCCATTTTATTTTTCGTTATCACTAGACTGCGGATCTTTATGCATTTATAGGAAATTTGGATATGCAAGAAACTACAAAATGCAAACAATATGCAAGTATATAAAAAAGATTGAAAGTCAAATTCGTGTTATAATATTTTCAGAATAAAATAAATTTCTATATAGGTACAATTTTTGTAGGCACGTTCGCCAAGATTTTATTTTGCATAAAGATCCGCAGTCTAGTTATCACAAACTATGAACATCGAATATATTTCTTAAGAGTATCCAAAGTAAAGCGAAAACTTCTATACTTCACGTAAAGTTGCTACCAGCTCCGTCACCCAAAAACAAAAACAAGCTGAAGAACTTAATAATATAATCCCCTCCCGTTTACCTCTTTGCAATCCTGTGTCGAGTGAGGCTCGACAAAAGTGTACCGAAATCAAAAAAACTTACAGGTCCTTAACCGTAGATTGAACGACAGCGGTTGAAAACCGACTTACTAGAATACAGAAAAGGCAAAACTAATCTGAAAGCTCAGCGACCAATGTGATCAAACGTTAACACAATCCCGTAGCTCAGCGAATAGTGTACTGAGTACACTGTACTCAAACACAAAGCCTGTCCCCGAGCTGAGCGACTAACTTCCGTCTGATTACATTTAAAAGTGAAAAACGAAAGCAAAATGGTTTCCAACCATAAAATTTGGATCGCAAAGGGTTAATTCACCCGGTGTTATTTTGAGTCTGCCTGTACCAGCTCAGGTGGGACAATTAAAATTCCCCCAGCGAGAAAAGGGCCCAGAGCCCTGAGGAGTCTACGAGGGCGTACACGTCGAGCGGTCCTCGAGGAGCAGAAGACTCGATAGGGAACCCGAGACGGCGCGAGGCGCATGCGCGCGCGCGACCAGACACAAGACCAGCGAGGAAGAACGACCGTGAGGAACGGACCGAGTCTTCTGGTAACCCAGCATCTATCCAGTCGAGCCGGTCGACGGGTCGGGCCAATCAGCCAATCAGGCGTCACGCGAGTAGACCGGTGCCGAGGTGGCGAGCGTTCGCGTCTGGCAGTCAGTGCTCGACCAGCGTTCCGTGCGTTACGAACTAACCGCTGCTGCGACCTCGACGCGCCTGGTCCATTTGGAGTGCACGCGCGGGAACCACGAAGACGCGAGTTTCGCCGACAGATTAGGATGACGCAATGCCGCGGGGTTAGCGCACGTCGCGATTTCAAGCTTAGAGAATCGTTCTGAGACCTGCCGACCGAGGGACCCTATCACGATCGCGATCCAGTGTCGACGAACCTCGATCATCCTGCTCGCGCGTGACCGTGTGTGTGACCGTGCGATGAAAGAAACGAGCCTGCCACTGGATTAAGGCGCCCTACACCCGTGACAAGCTACGCCATGGCGCCTCCAGACAGGCACAGATCGCCCAGGCCTGGATCTGGACTCAGCCTCTCCGTCCTAGGTGAGTTTAGGGGATTCGGTTGCGAAGAAGGCTCAAGAGAGGCGTGAGAGTTGATAGGGATGGTAGAAAGCATGGGGTTGGTCTCTTTTTCGAGTTTGGCAGGTCGGAACACCTGTGGATCGGTTTTGGAGATGGGAATACTCGATCTTGATCACTTCATGCCTGGACTGTTAGCATAGGGGATCTTAATTGATTTGTTTAAGTATGGTTGATGGCTTGGGCCTCACTTTGCATCGCATAAAAAGATGAGAGAGGTTCGGTAGAGATGATAAGAAGTATTGTCCAGGGTATCAGGTGGCACCTGCTGACTAGGCTCTAGATCTGAGTGGTAGTCTAATCGTCTAGTCTCGTCCTAACAATTCACTCCGTCGCGTTAAGACTGTGAGATCTTATAAAACTCTTTGACTCCAAAAATATAACTATATTCATTATTGCATTTGCATTCACCAGGTCCTGGCACCTCGAGTCCCATTGAGTTAAGTTTGATCAGGTTTCGAGGTTGAAAGTGTCTCAAATACGACTCTTAGGGCCAACTTAAATCCCAAAATCTGAGCTTTCTAAGCCCTTAGGAGACTTCAACCCTCTATCACACAGTATCCCCACGACAAAGCTCTGGTACCGATAGCACAAGTTGGCAATGGGCTTGGGATCAACTCAACCCTTTGCACTCGACGCCTTTTTCTCTGGTATCTACCAGCAACTCGAGATGTTTCTTAGCATTCTATTCCCACGAATGCTGAGCTATCGAGATTTGAGAATCAGGTCACCTTTACGTCGCCGACAATCATTTTATTGACACTTCGAGCTCCAAAGAAATTAAACCTATAGAAACATTACATATTGCAAATTTGCTGCGCGAAACCTAATGGTGATTGAGAGTCACCTCTCCAGTGCAAAGAGTTAAATTCAAAAATCTGAGTTTTCTGAGTCCCTAGAAGACTTCAACAACCCTCTATCCATCCAATATCCCTACGACCAAGCTCTGCTACCAATAGCACGGGTTACCAATGGGCTTGGGATCAACTTAAATTCCAAAATCTGAGGTTTCTAAGCCCCTAGAAAACTTCAACCCTCTATCCACCCAATATCCCTCACTATCCCAAGCTCTGATATCGACACTACGAGTTGGCAATGGGCTTGGCGTCGCAATGATCGCTCGTACGCTGGAGCAACCTTTCACAGAGGTGTCGGAACGTTTCTTTCGATCGATTATCTTCTCAGATGTCGAGTTCCCGTGGCTTTTCAGCCCGACTGAGAGGCCTACGGTCTACGAAAGCGTTGACTAGCGATTTTTTCATCAGCCCTCGGAGATCTTGGCCTCACAGAAGGCCTGTCCGCGGCCAGCCGAGTGTCACTGATCCGATCTTGCGGGGGATCTCAGTTCTCGCTAACTAGAAACAAGGGATCACAGTTTCCAGGGCTAGGAGACTGTCTCCGGTTCCCAGACTACGTTCGGAATGGGTTCCGACGCGAAGTCTCGAACGTTGTCTTTGATGTTCTCCAGGTGCCTGGTGGAAGCGAGGTCGCTTTAGGCACAATGAGGATCGACTCACGGTGATGGAGCCCCTATAAGGGCCTAAGTGATTACCAAGAGGCTACACGAGCGTTAACGACAAGAGCAGGTGCAGGATTTTTTTGTCTTTACCAAGTTGCACGCGGACTTATCGTCGGTTTCCATCGTCTGCGGGTAACGCAAAATGGACTTATTAGCCTCGACAGGATGAGACCAGCGTTTACGCGACGAGTCGCTCGGTTATAGGCGAAACGTATCGGAAACGCGAAAGGTTCGCCATCGTTCGCGCGCGGGATAGTTTTAATTAGCGAAGAATGCAGTCGGATTCGAGGGGTTCGACGACCAAAGGAATGCTGCGCCTATCGCGAACCAAGCGAACTGGCTGATCCAATGGCGCTTAGATTGCGCGCCACTCGTTATCATCGAGGACACGATTATCTCGCTGAAATGTTTCTACAAATCGACCGCTACAAGGTCGGCCATTAGCGTGTCTCTCGTTCTCGATGATCATTCCAGATAGAGCGAGCTGTGATAGCGGCTCTGGGTCATTTGATAGTACTCGGATCGATTCGATTTGTGTGGAATTTGGACATTCCGCAGGTAAAGGCGCGCGTATTTTATGGGACTTTTCGTAATTCTTGAAATGGAGCGATTCTATTTAAAAATTGTAGTAACATTTATCGATGGATTGTGTCGAGTGGCTAGATCTATGATTGCTATACATTGACACTAGCAAATAAGAGTATATTCACGTCTTTTCTTAACTTCTTTGATACAAATACAAAAAGAAAGAGTAATGAATACTTTCAGTGCAGGAATTACTCATCAACAATTTTTAAATTTTGGAGAATCCTTTGAGACGCGTTCAATTGCAACGTATATTCGAACTACAACAAAATTCGTGACTTTGTACTAAGAAGCGACGAAATTAGCGTCGAATTCTCGAGGCTTCGTCCGGTCGATCCGAAGGGAGGAACACTAAAACGGTGAAGAGTCTAGCCAGTGGTAATGAGGGGTTGCCGCGCGCTCAAGATCGCTCGACATTCAGCGGGATCACAGTAATTTTTCCGTCTGAAGGCTTTGAGCCGCCTCGATTCAATTTTCTCCCCAAACTCCTCCCCGATCGCCATTTCCGTTGAACAATTTGAAGCATTCGCGTGCAACGAGAGTTTCTTCGGTATAAATGCATGCCTATCGACGTTATAGCAAGTTACCACTGTAATTCAGAGTACCAGATGGAGGTCGATGAAAATAAAAAGGAAACGCAGTGCATTAACGTCTAAGAGCCAATCTAGTTTTTATAAAGCATTTTGATGGAGATCTTAGAGCTTAATCGAAAGGCTATCTATGTAGAAAATAGGTACCAGTTCATATCCAATGAAGGATTTCATTTTCTGTTGTGCCAGAACTCGCGGAACGTAGAGAAAGACCTGCAAAAATAATTTGCTCGAAAGGGTCAAAAGATATTTCCCTATTTCTAACTCCAAACACTTCCAAATCAAAATATGCAATGGCAGCTTCATTGAAATCTATATTACTTGATGAAGAATCCCATTTTCTGTTGTACTAGGACTCTTGGAACCTACAGAATCACTTGCAAAAATAATTTGCTCAAAAGCCTCCAAAGATAGTCCCCTATTCCCAACT